GGTGTTATGTACTTTCTTTTGTTCACGAACCTGGCTCAGTGGACTGCTGACCTCTTTTCAATAGGGGCCAGATTAGCGTGGAGCGGTGCTGTGTGGCTCATCACTGTGGTGGTGGAGTCCTTTTGTCCCTGGTGGTAATCCGCTTGCTATAAATGCCCCAAACCCTGGTATATGGTTTCAAAACAAGGCTGGATTATCACCACTTTTGAGAGTGAAAAATGTTTCTAATGCCCAGCAGCCTGGTCTTTTGTTTGGAGTACGGTCTTTTGTTACAGGGCCCTGTTTCCTTTGTCCGAGCTCGGAGACCCCGGCCACACATATAAAGCATACGTCTACGATTCCGGAGTCCCCAGGAGGAAGTGCTTAATTTCATTCAAGGTGGATAATATGCATGACACGAAGGTATTCCTGACGTAGGATACCATTCCTAGGTGATAGCGCCTTCTCTTGTTCATTATTGGAGCACAGAATCACACTAGTTACCAGTTAGAGATGCATAATTGTGAAACCTTCAAGTAAGTTTCACGGCTGGGTGTTCCCAATTTTTCTAGTGAAAAGAGTTGCGCTAGAAAAATTAACAAAATTGTGCTTTACCTGCTGGATGTGAGTTCTGACCTTTGCCAATGCACTGCGATCACAGCTCTGCATCAGAACTTGAAGTTTGGACTTGACTCATGCGTTTACTTTGCGGGTTCTTGAGATGAACTTTACTTTCATTTACACCAGAATTTTTTTCACACTCTTTTTGTTCGTTGCCTGTGCTCATTTTTTTTCAAGTATTTATAGATGAGGATATCAAGGATTTTGCGTAATCAAATCACGATATCGCCACGGTGTACCAAGGACTAGGCAGAGGGCCAACATTCCCCTTCCCCAGTAAACCCCCCCTGTATTAGTATTTGGGGTAATAGGATAGGTCTGTGTATGGGTGAGTCACTCCATCCCTCAAGGCTTTTAGGCTCATCTCACTGAGCTCTGCCACAGCATTGTCAGGATATGCCAGATGGCTATTCCCGGCTCATCAAATCGAAGTGGCCACTAGTCACTGGTCGTGCGCATGCCTGTTTTTAAACCCTAGAGCCTACAGTGACACAGTTTAACACACGTGGGCGAGTCACTCTCCAGATGTCACGTTATTTCTCTGAAAGCATAGCCTACAAATTCCATTGTCTTAAAAAATGTATATAAGGCAATTCGTCCCTGCACACGTGGATTACCTCATCTTACAGGTGCCGCAGTAGTCAAGTTTCAAACTTTGCCAAGTTTTGTGTTTATTCATACTATGATCAGTTATTGAGGAAAGTATTTGAAATTGTCACCATTGTGCCAAATCTTTGGGAAGTACTGTCTAAATATGGTCGAAAACTGCGGTTGGGAGCAGCACGGAAAAAGGTCTTATGAGGAAGAGTCTTGTGACAATCTGTAAGTTCTGCGTCAGCCACGGTAGAAAGATGCTGAAAAGTGGCCACTCATTGTCTCGTGTGTGCAGTTTGTGTCTGGCTCTACTATCTACATGGATAGTTTTTTACCACTTGCAGCCACCGGTGTTACTGTTTGGTAAAGATTGTTTGGAATGGTTCTTGATCGGGAAGGAGCAGTCATTCTTACAGAGGCACCATGTTTAATGCAGAGAATTAGGCATTCTCGTCTTTTTGTGAAATTGTTTAGTTTGGTTACTTGGGGCCTTGTTGAGTGAGGTTGGACGTTGTGATCAAGCAATCTGGTTTAGACGATCATCCAATGCACCTGCTCTAGTAACAAGAATTATGGGTTTGAATTCAAACTGTGTCAAACTGAAATTTTGAAAAGCACTAGGTATGTAGTGCATCAGTGCAGGAAGGACCAAGTCTGCTTATTACCATCATCTGTCAAAGTCATCACCAGGACAGTATGCCGGTGGTACTGGGTTCCAGTCCTCCTCAATTCACTTTGTTTTTTCTCTTAATTGTTCAATCATACAGGTGGCTAGGAGCTAAAGGAGTCAAGCAAGACAGGATCAATGCATGGCTAAGCATGGAAAACCTTGACAAGTAAGTGGCTTACAAGGAGCTTCAAAGTATGGTGTGCAAAACGTACAAAGTAAGAGACAAAACATGCATTGAAAAGGCATATATGCACACGAGGGATCAGATAAATGCATTGTGTAAGAATGCCAATGTATGGCAAGCAGAACGTACAAAATTCAAGAAATATGAAAGGGCTGCGTAGCACCGTGATCAGAATATTGACAAGAATATAATATAAAATCAGTGCTCTGAAATATGTGATTGCCGAACTTTCAGTAACTGAGTACCCTCTTCAGGGCACCATGAAAATGGTACAGTGGTGAATCTGCCTGCCCTGAAGAAGGTACTCAGTTACCGAAAGATCGGCAATCACATATTCCAGAGTACTGATTTTATATTATATTCTCGTGTGGTTTTGTCCTGGCCTTGACAAGAAAGAAATGTTAGGCTGTAGCTTGAAGGAAAGTCTCCTTGCAGAGTGAGCTTAAAATCCCAATTTGCACTTTATATTTTGAAGGATTCTTTCCCTAGAGAGGTTTGCCTGACGTTAAAAAGTAGTTTTATGGATTTTTCTTTGTTTATTCTTGTCAGGCCCAAGATGAGAGAAACTTGGCTCTGAATCCGCAAAATTGTCAAGTGAGCCAAGTTACAAATGTTCACAATGTTCACGCACTTCCAACTTGTTTACCCAGAACTAAACCAAAAATCACACCAAAATGGGGAGTTTTCTTTATGTTATATATGTTTGCCATGTCATGGCTCCATACATTGCATCATTGCTATTCAATCTAATACATCATTTGACCTTTGAAAGCTTAACACATCCCCCATCATCATTTAACCCCCAGGCACATTTTATACACTTTCAATGTTCATGTGTTGGTAAAATCACCCAGCTTTACACAGGTTTACGTGATCATGAAAGGTGCATTGTGGGTGTGTATTTGTTGGTAAGCACTTCTCAACGCTTCTCAGGAATTTCTGACCTCAATATTTCACCTGTAAGAAAGTCAGCATATCGATTATTTTACGCTCTCGTCTCACCATTGAAGGCACCCAGCTTAGCTTTGAGCTAGCCATAATTACATGTACCTCACCAACCCTTCAAACTATAACTAACCCCACTCCTATTTTAAAGGAGGGATGCTTTTTGGGAAAAATAAACATTTTCATCATAAATTTTTTCCAAATTCCTCAAAACCAGGTGCTGCAGAATCATTTGAAACTTTCAAATTTTAGCCGCACTCTGCCGAAAGCACTTGAAACAAACCGGTCATTTTGGACAGATCATATCGATGTGACTGTGATTTGTTTGATTTGGTTGTTCTTCTCACAGCGAGCACACGACCGACACCGACTCCCTGCCTCATCATAACGAAAGCCTGTGGCTCATTCCATCAATGTCTCGGCCTGAGGCAGAGAAGCTACTGTGGGGAAAGGCCAAGGGGACATTCCTCATCCGAGAAAGTAGCCAACGAGGGGACTGGGCGTGCTCTATTGTGTGAGTATATGCTCACCGACTCAAAATGCAAAAACAATGTTAGCTTAGGCGACAGGTCTTTCAAGTTGGTGCTTGGATGTGCCAACCTTCCAGATTCAGAACTGGAAAAAAATTAAAATTGTAATTTTGAGAATTCTCGGATTTGCCGACCAACTATTGACCAATATAAGTGAAAACATTTTTTGGGGGCTCTGCTGTCCAACTGACAGCAAAGTCCCTGGTACTCGGCTGCTCGCGCTAGTAGATGGGATACCGTTTTTTTTTTTTTCTTTTTTGAGGGTTGGGGATTTGTGCTTTGTATTCTCCCTCTGACGTGATCCTTATGTGTTTTTCTTGAGACCATAGAAAATACTTTTTTTTTTTTTTTTTTTTTAATTTGTCTTAAAAAGTCTGAGCACCAACTTGTAAAAAACTGCTAGCTTAGCATCAGCATCCTGCTTTGAGTCCAGGTTCTAAATAGCAGGGATCGTTTTCCTGAGGGGACAGTACTATGGGTTGTAATTTCAATGTTCCTTGGGTTTTCCCCCTCAGTTCTGACTGGGCATAGGGATTGTGACTGCACCAGTCTATTTTGGAAGAATTACAAAGTGTGGAGCACACTTACCATTTTCCATTGTTGCCCGCTTCTGATCATGTCAATTTAAAAATTAATGCATTAATTATGATAGTGAACAAAGTTTCATGTTTTTCTTTGGGGTTTCTTTTTTTCCAAGTAGCAAACACGGCATGAATGCATTACAGTGAAAATGGTGGCTTTTTTTTCTCAAAACTTTTCAAAGATTGTCCTGAAAAAGACAATAGTTAACAACTTAAATATAAGATTACTTTAACCAATCATAAATTTGCGAATTTTGATAATAATTAGCATTAGGGCTACAAACAAGATTGGAATGACAGGCACAGATAGGATTTAGCAAATGGGATCAGGATGTGGTTCATTTCTTGATGTTCACATGTTGATTTCAGTGCTAAAGATCACGGCGAGGTACGACATTGTAAGATCAACCACACCCAGACTGGCTATGGCTTTGCTGAACCTTACAACCTCTACAGCTCCCTCAAGGAACTGGTCTTAGCTTACCAGCAGAATCCGTTGACCCAACATAACGAGGAACTGGACACGACATTAGCATACCCAGTGTATGGTCCCCAACCGCCCCAGGATGTCCGTCGGTGATACTCAAGAGGTCAGATAGGTTTGGGGTTTTTTATTTTGTTGTTGAAAAAAAAAGCTGAGACTTTCAAGAGTCTTGTGGCTGATTTTGAAATGGAGCTTAACACCTTGGAATGTGGAGATTGGTTGCAATATCGGACAATAGCATTAAGAATTTGAATTAGCTTCGAGAGAGAAGCCTCTTTAATATTTTACTCAGATATCCATTACTTCTGTTTACAAGTCCTCAATGCTGATGGTATGGCCATTCTGTTGGGAGTGATGTCCGTCTGCTTCTAAACTTACAGAGGTTTAAGAGCTTGGGAGTTTTTTTAGACTTGTTTTGGATGCCGTGAAAATTATAGCTTTCCCTCAACACTGCTGCAGTTGCAGCGCTGCAGAAGTTGAGGCACTCAACCAAAATGTACAACACAAGCATACCGTGTTGGTTTAACAGAAATTTTATCCAATTTGTAGAAATTAAATTCCCTGCACTGTTCAGAGTGTGCTGACAATCATTCTTGAGTCTTGTTCCCAGAATCAGTTAAGTGCTACACTATACAAGTTGAGTAATTCTGACCTACCGTCTTTTGGGGTCACTGCATTGTACGTGTAGTTCTGTCATTTGCAACATGTAGTTGGTGTCAGATCTGGGACAATGGCCACTTTTTTGTGAGTGCACAGTTTCTTATGTCCCTGGTCAAGAATGCAGTTTTCTTGTAGCAAAATCATAAAAATCTCTCAACCTCTTTGAGTGGACTGGAAACATCTGTATGAATGTCTTTCTCTTATTCCCTGTACTGGTTAGCCTCAGAATATGTAGGCATTGTTGAGTTTTAAGAAAATAAAATGCAATGTTTTTCTGTATAGATGTTAAAGTTATTGTAAGTAGTCGGTTTAATGGAAAAGAAAAAGCCCTGGGCTGTATGGAATTTGTATCAAAAGAGTGCTTGGATTAACACAATGAATGGAGTGCATTTCATGTTAATTAAAGAAAACTAGTCCAAGAGATGGATTTGTAAAATACGATATCAGAAGATTTGCAGGATCATTGCATCCCTGGCCAAAGATATTGTGTGTCTGGCAAAATGTTTCCTCCCAGACTTAAAATTAGTAGGAATTAAGGGGTAGATTTTCCCAGAAACACAAACCGTTTCTTGTCGTCCCATTGATCATAAATGTCAAGGGACCGGAAAAGGCAGAGGTTTGGCCACTTGAAAATTCTGCATTGTTTCTACTTTATTATTTTTGTACACAAAGCTGACTATCAATATGTGCATTCCATGCTGAATAATAAGAAAACGTGTACATGAAGATACAAATATTCCATTTTTTTTGTGACTAAAACCTCTTGGATTGTACAGATAAGGTTGCAAGAATGGATAATATTAACAATAGACATATATATGTATATTTTTCTTTGCTTTACTAGCATTATGAAGTTTTTTGTATGTAATTTTTCCACTTTGTTCTTGTGTATATTGCTGTTGTAGGTGAAATTGTATAGAGGTCTCTATCGAAGCTTACAAATTACAAAAACGGTGCTCTCGAGAACGGTATAAAATACTTCATTCTTGCTACCAAGAGTTACGTATTTAGATGCCCATCAGGAAATCTAGTTCTAATTCTAAATCATTTGTTTTGGTTCCTGTGTATTAAGAAAACAGAACACAGCCGGAGAGAGTAAAACTACCGTACTTTTTTTGTACTTTTCATTTTTATTTTTGTATGTCCGCTCGAGTATTTACTAAAAAGCAAAAAGAAGCGCTCTGTTACTAAGTCTTGATTGTATTTTGTTTAGGATGTCATCAAGGCCTTAGGTGTGTTACATAACATAATCTGCCCACAGGTGGAACTTTTTTTCTGAATCTAGGTATTGGCTAGAAAAACTTTGTTTTCAAATACATGCAGGCCGTAAATTCAAGAACAGATTTGTATAGACCAACATCTAATCTTAAAAGAATAGAATTGTCATTGTTAGAAAACACATTAACATTTCTAAACAAGACTGGTTAGAAAGAAAGGGAACCATTGTAATGGCTGAGTTGTCTACTAGAACGGAACTGAAATTTTTGTGGTTCTAGTGTTGAGCCACTCTAGCTGGTTACCAGTCGAAATGTGTAATTTAGTTTGCCTGCCACTGGTACTCTGAAGAGTTTTAAGGCTGAACAGTATTTTGCAGGGATATCCAGATCCAAGATGATTTTCTTTTTTCCAATATTGGCAAACGATCTTAGCTGCTTGCAGGAAACGGTGGCTGTCAAGTAACCAAGATTTTTGTGCATTGCCAGAGTTTACACGCGTGCCACGCATTCCAACAACTGTTCGAATATATCAGTCGAAGTTCGACTGATCCACTTTTCCATGTAGCTTGAAGACATTTCACAGCGGCGGCTTTTCTATCAAAAAGATCTTTCAAAAATGGGGTTTTTTTTTAACGTGTATTGAACTGATGATTGTAAAGACGTTTATAGTATTTAAAGACCAAACTGGTACTTTAAAGAAGCGCAGGGTTTCTTCTTTGTCTGCCTTATGCTTCTAGAAAGCTCAGAGAAGTAACTATGTTCCTATTTTTGAGCAGATCTAGACAGCATTTTGGAAGAATCCATAGATATCTGTGACAATAAAAAAACGGATTTGGGGCCGTTGTTTTTGGGGGGGATGATGATGTCCATTCAGTTCAGCAGTACCATCAAAAGCCAAATTGTTCAGAGCCCTTTTTTAATGAAAGCGAAGAAATTATCCAAAACTAAAATAAACCAGGATTTATTGACGTTCAGTCCTATTGGACAAAAAATTGATCTTACCCAAACAAATCCTTGGTGTCTTAATATTTACAGTTTTATAAATCCAGTGCAAATACATTGTAAGCAGCACTCAAAGGGAAAGATTTTGAAAGTTGCAAAGTCCAAGTTACCAACTTGTTTCCCTGTTTATAAACATGCGACTTAATGGTTGAATCTAGCCAATTTTATACAAATCTCCTATAAAATGTTTTTAATTCTGTGAACAATCAAGACAGCACCTGATGCTTGAGAATTCTACATAATCAATTAAATTCACGACTGAAGCACCAATGAATTGAGATGAGTGATTAATATCAAGTAGATGTATATCAAATTTGCCTGCATTGTTACTGCCACGTTAGAACTGAGAAGTATTTAAATGGCTCACTAGGAATGCAGTGGTCTTTCTACTGGTCCTGTTAGTCACACGTTGTATCATGCAAATATTGCACGACGGTGATCCTATCAAGGGCGGTGAATCAAACTTCAGGTTCAAAGTCCTCTGAACTTGGTGCCAATACAATGATTCTGTCGGAGGTTGTAAAGGAGAAATAAACCTAAAAACAAGTCATCTCAACTCCCAACTTTTCGTTTCCCTTGATAGGACAGGACCACTCAAACAAATGAATATCTTGCATTGTGTCAAATGCCCCAGAAGAACAACAAATGAATTTTGAAATAATGTCCATCCGCTGTGAAGAAATTAAAATCCATTTCATGTTTGTGATTATATCTGTATGTGGGCTCTGTAATTATAAGGTTAGAGAGAGCCACAGCTAACATGTAGACTTTACTAATAAAGAAGTCCGTGATTTCATATTCAAGAGAAGTTTGGGTATTTTGGTATCATTGCTTGAGTCGACCAATTTTTTTCCTCGGTGAATAATATTTTTAAGAGGAAAATCATGTCGACCAGTTACATTAGATCTCCTGAGATCTCTTCTGAGGGGTGGAACATACAGGTGTATAACTTGACTACATGTAAGCATGTAGACTATTCATTAAGCTGAGTTCAGTCCAAATGTCAAGTGCTTGTGATGGATTTCGGTGTAAATTTGTTTAGCAGTTTTACTTTTATGCTAACAACTCCAGAATTTGGCCCTGAGCAGAGACATGCTAAGCCTCTCGTTCTGCCTAGGAGCACAGCTCGGGGCAGGTTGTCAAACCCGAGATCAGAGATGTACTGGCTGTCCAAGGGCGTGTACAAGACAACAACCGTAATTATTCTGACCTCATCAGATCAGCGACATCCTTCCTTGTGCAACGACTGGTCAGGACAGAGGAATTCTGTGGTCAGTTCCAATGTTACCATTGGTCAGTCCAGTGTGATGTGACCCAAGTCGCCCTTGCGGAAAGCTTTGACCATGTGTGTGGCAGCTGCATTGATATCAGGTCTCTGAACCACCGAACCTAGAAAGGCATGAAAAAACAGCTGGTTACTCCCATTGGGTATTGCTTCCCTGTTTGTGAGGTCAAATTTTGCATGATTTTCACAAGTGTATAAACTGGAGACAGGGTGCCAATGTCAGGGCTACATAAAAACAGGTCCGCAGTTCAGGGTGAACGAGAAACGAAACAATTAGCTCAAGGTCTGGGTGAGTGCTAGCAATTTTGGAAGGGATTTCTCACCTGCTGCTGTTTTCACACGACAGATCTTGTTCAGTTTTTTGGCGATCTGGGTCAAAACATCCATGATGTTGTCACTGGGACCCTCCAATTCATAAAAGTCGACATACCTGCAGAAAGGAAAGACACCATTGAAGGTGAGACTTCCAGCTGTAACACTGGTAATCCTCTGTTGACAGACTAGATAATCAGTAGGTAAATAATAAAGTTGCATTACTTAGGATTTCTTTTCACCTCTACCTTTTTTTGGAAAAAGGGGGGCGGGGTGATGTTGAAACATCCCTTGCAAAGCTACTCATTCCAGAAAAAAAACAGATAAATATTCAGGGGTCAGCATATTATGTGAAATTTTTTTTACATCCAAGAAATAAACAAAATGTCTAGTTTCAGTCTTTACACCACAAAATTTGTCCCCCAAAGGACTACAAAGCTGTAAATGCCGTCCTTTTGCAGACAGCTTACCTGTTGTGATTGTAACTGTTGAGAACATACAACAGGTAGTCTGCAATCACGTCGGTTCCCACAGCATGGTCTTGCAATGTTCCTATAGAAAGGTACATCAGAATTTATAACCGTGTACAGAGTCAAATACTTAATTATACGTTTTGAAAAATGTTAAAAAGGGAGGGGAGGGGTTAAAAGTTCTTGGGGGTGGGTGGATCCTTGGCTGTCATAAAGTTTACTGCAAAAAAAAAATACTTCAATTCACCACCTGGGCAATTGATGTTTTCAACTTACCACAGAGAGCTAGTTTCATGCCGACTTCAATTTCTTTGACATAGGGGGTCATGATCCCTGGTGTATCAAGCAACCAGACTTCAGGTTTGTTGCTCACCTTTGGGTAAAAACGCAGGAGCGAAAGACACTTTGTCAGACCTGCTTGCTCAGGGTTACCTACTTCCAAGACAGCAGGTTGTTTCATCAATACTGGCATTTCCAAGACAGCAGGTTATACTGGCATTTCCAAGACAGCAGGTTGTTTCATCAAGTAATACTGGCATTTCCAAGACAGCAGGTTATACTGGCATTTCCAAGACAGCAGGTTATACTGTCATTTCCAAGACAGCAGGTTGTTTCATCAAGTAATACTGGCATTTCCAAGACAGCAGGTTATACTGGCATTTCCAAGACAGCAGGTTATACTGGCATTTCCAAGACAGCAGGTTGTTTCATCAAGTTAAACTGGCATGCACTATTTCTGGTAGATGACTGGAGGTAACCATCTCGCCTTGGCTCATCACAAGACATTTTCAGTCTCATTGATATGTGACCGACTCCACCAAAGTGGGTATTATGGGACTTGTTTTCAAAATGAGTTACATACAAATTTGAATTGGTTACATTATAAGCTTTAACTTGGTGTAGGTTTGAACCTGTGGCATTTTGCAATCTGGAGGTATACTCATTTTTGCATAATCATATCATACGCATTAACAGAAGTGCTTCAAGAGATAAAACTCTTTAAACACAGGAAATGGAAAAAGAAATCAGCCAAGAAGAAAGTCTCTTGAATATCCATAGCAACACTTAAGTTTCTTGTATGAATTGTGCAAGTATTGATAATGGAAGCCAATAAACCAAGAAGTAAAAATCACCCTCTCCACAGAGAAAAATACTCCAAAGACAAGTATTTGCTTCACATGACAATACCTCACAGAATTAAAACACTGAAATATTTGAAATATTGAATATTACATTGAATATTAACACACTGATTGAAACTGGACACATTCACACGGCAGCATCCATGCCTTAGAGGTCACAACCTACCCAACCACCACCTGAAGGCCTACACTTCAGAAAGTTGGAATTTTGGCTGTTCTCATCAACTCACTTTGATTTTGTGCATGAGAGATCTCGTTACCCCAGGCCGCACGCCCACTGGTGTTGCCTTGCCTGTCAATCAAAAAGAACCAATTTACCAAATAACTCATGGTCTCTATTCATCCGATATTTCAGTCGAGAATATCTTAAGTCATATCCCACACCGCCAGATCTTGCCAAAAATGAAAATAAAATACACAAAGCCACTCATTTAAAAAAGGCGCCCTTTCCATTTTTTTGGAGCATGGGCATTCAAAATTAGATTTTGGTAAGGAGACCATAAATGACATCATCTTAGCACCTTTTGGAGGGTAAAGGAAATAGGCAAACAATGTTATAAAAAATTTGAAATCGTGTTAGTTTTTGAAATTGGAGGTTCTTAAATTTCAGTAATTTACATAGGCTGGCAAATTCTTTATACCTGAACTGCCGAGGGGTATCAAGTACCACATAAAGCAATAGTGATTGGGCTCTACCTTCCTCAAACCAACAAAATCTTTCAAAATTCTCCTGGTTGAATTTGAAGGGTATGGAGGGGTAGAGAAAGAAAAGAACTAGATAACAATCCCATACAAACCTTTATTGAGGTAGATCCTTCGCATGGCATTGATGAGCGAGGATTTGCCGACGTTTGGCACGCCAATGACCATGACCGAGTAATCATTCTCCTCCAATCGGTGGTAACGATCACTGTTCTCTATCAATTCAACCACCCGCGGGATCACCTGGAATGATAGTGTAGAGACATTATACCTGACTTTAACAGCACTGGGATCAGATGCAAAAAAAAACCTGCCACGTTAGTCATGATATGGGTAACAACCACCAATTCCCTGTTAAATAATCATTTTATATCAAAACAATGTGATTGATCTCTGACACAGGAGGGTAATTCATACATTTTTGACACTTGGGCTGCGTTGTCCAAGACACTCGGTGTACAAGATATTTTGGACCCCTTCTTCCTTTAATCTGTTGCGAACTTGCTAAAAAAAAACCAAAACAAACAAACCAGTCAAACAATATTATTCAATAATTAAAGTAAAGATTAAACAATTATTCTCTCGACAATCTGAAATACTTAATCCAAATGTTTCGATTTTTGTTGTAACAGATTTTGGCCTTACAGAATCTACATACTGTAGAACTGGAAGTTTGGTGGTATGGTGGAGAGGTTAGGAGGGAATACTCACGCTGGTTTTCTGTGGTGTAGTGTCAGCTAGATCCTTCTTGTTTAGGATTAAGAGGTGAGGTCTGATGGCAAAGATGTCATGAAACATAGGATTCCTACCAGCAAAAGGGATCTGCAAAAAAATAAATCTGGAATTGACGGATAAAATCCCACGTGGACATTACCTTAACTTGAACTCTCACGTCACTGTTAGCAAGACTCTGTTCCTAATCAGCCAAAATCTAACTCCGTGCAGAAAATAAATGGAATTATCTTTTCACTTTGGTCACGGTTTCACAGATCAAGCAATGCTAGATGTTGCATTTTCGGTGCATGTATTACACTTTGACCTACCCTGGCATCGTGAACTTCAACGATGCAATCCACTCTTCGTAGCGCATTACGCATCCTTTTAATTCCTGCCAAAAATGGAAGAAAATACCCAGTGAAAATGAACAATGCTGTGAAATCTATTGCTAAAATATCAAAATATGATATAAAATGAAATGGATTTCACTGTCTACCCTTCCTTTACCTCTTGCCATGTGTGATGGGAACCAGTGAGTCAGATCCTTAGATCCAAAGGTAAAGACTTCACGGAAGAGCCTCCTAGTTGAGCTGGTACCCGGCCCTCCCATCTCAACACTGCAGGACTAGTATAAAACCGATGAAATCTTTTGAGAGTTGCATCCAGTCAACATCAAGTTTCCTGTGCAGGTTTCTAAAATAAGAATCAGTAGCAGTTAAAAAATATCCTACAGGCTAGCTAGATTATAGATAGCCTGAAGAGGCTGTATTGCTTAATCCGCCAGTCCACATGGTCCATGGATTGCCTGCCATACAAAAGTAATTAATGCAGGTAGTAAGAGTTCATCATACGGACAACCCTAATTTTCCCTAAAAATGTTATATCAGCCATCAGAAAGTGATAACATAAATTATTATTATTGGTTTATTAAAAAACTGGCAATAGCAGCCCGAGATGCCCAAGGGCTGAATTATAGCACAGTCTTACAAGCAATGACAAATCATGATTACAAAATTGCAACAGTGAGATAAGCAAAGTAAAACAATACATAAGCAGATGCATCAATGTACACACAACAATATCCTATCCTAAAATATATCCTTATAAGTGAAATTTAGCAAAGAAAATTCCGAAGCATTTAGTTAGACTAGACATGTTAGAAAACATTTTTCAGACATGGATGGACAAGTCTTATGCACACTGCAGGCATGACGGGCCTTGCTGTTGTCTAGATAGAACTTTACCACTTATTTTGTCCACTTGTAGAGCGCACCAAAACCCTTACTTTCTGGTGAGATTCAACTTTAGTCGAGCCCTTATAAATTGATACAAAAGAACTTCAACTACTCCCGTAGGCTCACCGTCACAGTCAAGCAGGTGCAGGATTTTACTGGTCTACTTCCACCTCATGAGGGCGTCAACATTTCGAAACATACCTGCTATACCTGATTGCGAATTGTGCGCTATTTGCGAATGGACCTTCGGGACCAAATTTCACGTTGGGATTATTAAAATTTGTAACACCATTTCGCTGGTACGATGGTACTGGGTTTGCTAACTTACGCATGATAGCGTACGTGTACCAATGAAATTAAGATGAGGCGATAATTTCCGAAGCGCTGGGTCGATTCAACATGGACGGTCTTTCTTTGTCATGACGGAACCGTAAGAATTTTAACGACATTTTTAAGGTAAGGATCACTCCTCGAAGTCCAAAATGTACATATACTCCAATTAACATCATTGTAGTTGTTCATGTAGACAGAACCAGTCGTTAAAATTCAACATAATAAAGGTAAATTGAGGCTTCTTATGAGCAATGAAGTCTTTGTTCAACCTCACGTCACGCGCCGACGTGCTATTTTGACCTTGCCTTGGCTTGCATTTTTTGGCAGTGTAACGTTAGAATGACGGGCTTGTGTCTCGTAATTTTCCTCCACATTTGTGTCGTGGTCACTTAGATTAATGCACAAGCGTTTTACCATGGCCTTGACATGTCTGATGAAATACTTATGACGACAGGACTCATGTTATAGCTACTACTCCTGCTGACCTTGCTGGATTACAGTTTTCACTGTCAGCGTTAGTGTTTGCTGTAATCTGCTGATGGGGCATGGGCGATAGGCCTTCATCTGTAGGCCCTATTGTTTTGTTCATTAACTATTATCTTAAATCTTTATATTTTGCTTTTCATTTTTGAAGTTGCAATTTGTACAAAAGCCGTAATTTTTCTTTTCGGCACTGTGTTTTAATAACAGTTTAAATTGGTTTTATTGGCATTAGAAGAATTTTGTAGTATGTGTTTATAACTTGGATGGAAATTGTCAACAGTAACCAAGTCGTGTTTTTAGAGTTCTGAACATTTTTTAGTATTTCAGTTGTAGTTTATGTTTGTCGTTACAAGCTGGATCTCTTTTTCCATTTTATAGGTCAAGCTCGAAGAAAGATGTCCGATGAAACAATGGCAGTCTCGAGTCCTATGCAGGACTCTTTAGCCGACTTAGCTTCCATGCCTGCTCCTGGCCAGATGGCTGAGCAATCTCCGTTACCATCGCAACAAATGCCGGCCCCTTCACCGATGTCCCAGTCTGGCATGCCCATGGAGAGCCCCCGCCCAATGCCGACTCCCAGCCCTAGCTCCATGCACGGTGGTCCTATCGCCAGTCCCATGGGTGGGTCCATCCATAGCCCAATGGCCGGCCCCGGTATGATACATGCCAGTAGTCCCATGGCCCAGATGCCGTCTCCGATGCCCAACCCTAACTCTATGCCCGGTCAGTCACCAATGCCGCCTAGCCAGAGCCCCATGCAGCACCATCAAATGCCCATGCAACAGCAGCAGCACCAAGGACAGATGCCAATGGGGAACCAGGGATCAATCGGGAATCAGGGATCCATGATGAGCCAGGGTCCAATGAGCAACCAGGGTTCAATCAGTAACCAAGGCCCGATGATGAACCTGAGTGCAACAGGGAACCAGGGAGGCATGAGTAGCCATGCACCAATGATGAATCAGGGACCTATGGGCACCCAGGCACCTATGGGCACACAAGCACCTATAGGCACCCAGGCACCTATGGGCAGTCAAGGTTCCATGATGAACCAAGGTGCCATGGAAAACCAAGGCACCATAGGAAACCAGGATTCTGCTATGATAAACCAAGGCCCTATGGGAAACCAGGGACCCATGACAGGTCAAGGGTCAGTTGGAGGTCAAAGTTCCATGGCAGGTCAGGGGCCGACCAGTGGGCAAGCATACATGGGCAACCAATCTTACATGGGCAACCAACCTCCCATGGGCAACCAGGGACATTCTGGTGGTCAAGGGTTTATGGGAAGTCAAGGCCCAATGGCTAGCCAGGGACACAGTGGTAACCAGGGATATATGGGTAACCAAGGCCCATATAGTCAAGGTCATATGCCCAATCAGGGAGCCATGCAAGGTCCTGGATCCATGCCGGCTCCAGGGTCCATGCAAGGACAAGGATCCATACCATCATCAGGACCCATGCCACCTAGCGCCGGACCCATGCCTGCCCCAAGTCCCATGCCAGGTCCTGGACCCATGCCGGGGCCCATGCAAGGCCCAGGGCCAATGACGGGTCCGGGCTACATGCCCAATCAAGATCCCATGCCCAACCAGATGCCCATGATGAACCAAGGTCCAGTTGGGAACACGGCTCCCCCTAACCAGATGGCCCCTACGATGCCAGGCCAAGGAGGAAGCCTGCCAGGTCCAACTCCGACCCCCCAGCCACCCCCTGGGCCAATGCACGGACCCCAGCAACAAAGCTCTACTTTCCAGAGTCAATACAACTCTCTGCATAGGGTGAGTACAGGACAGCACCACCCGTAAACACAACCTTGAACAAGTGGAGCAATTACAGTAAAGTGTCTTGCTCAAAGATTTGGTCCAGGATATCAACTTGTTGATTACAACCATTGGACGTCCTATAGATCATGAACCGTAGTGACTAGTTAATAAGGTCATTGAATGACACGAACGTTAATTCTAGTCTTTTCCCCTTTGCGACAGGCCATTGAGACGATGCAGGAACAAGGCATGCAGGGGGATCCCCGCTATGGTCAGTTGATGGGTCTGGCTAAACGAGCAAAACAACACCAGCAACAGCAGGCTATGGGAGGTAAGGCAGAGAACAGGACAAAGAAATGCAGCAAAAAAGGGTCAACGCCCATTGGCCCACAAAGTCCACAAAAATCTATCAACTAATTTGGATTGATGTGGATTGTTATGATTTTGTTGAAATGCACAGAATTTGCCATTGGTAAATGTACAATGGCAGTCAATTCAGCAAAAATTTTTCATGGCAATAAACCGTGCTGCCAAGGAGGCTCATATGTTGAAGATCACAGACTAAAAAAGCTTCTTTTCCGCTTTATGACTGATAATAAAGTTCTTAAATTTCGAAAAGCCTCATTGAAAGTTGGAAGAAAGCTCATGGTATTTGTTGATTTGTTTTACCATGCTTTTCCAGAATGATGGATTGAAATTGAGTTTGTCCAGGTAGCTGATTTGTGCATTACTTCTTGAATCAGGTTATGGCGGGCCGATGGACTCCAATGCCCCACCATCCACCAGTGGGCAGGGCCAGGCAGGGATGGGCCCCACGCCCCCAGGCTCTCGCACCTCCCCCTTCAGCTCGACCCAGCTCCACCAACTCAAGGCCCAGATCATGGCCTACAAGCTGCTGTCCCGAAACCAGATGATACCGGACAACCTGCGCCAGGCCGTTCAGGGCAAACACCAGGCCATGTACCCACGCACCGGTGGTAGGTTATTTGGTAGGCTGTGTGAGTATTGTGTTTTCATTTGTTCTTAAAGATATATCCCCCCCTCATGCGAGGAGCACTTGCTATCAAAAGGGCTGAATTCGGCTGCTGTTGAATGAACACCTTGCTGCTACCGCCTCATGCTAATCACCATTTCTGCTTGCTGCCCTCAGGTATTTATGATTTGATGTTTCTTTTTATGCTGTAAGCCACTCGACTAAAATTCTGTTTGGAAGGATACATTCTGGGGAAAACAGTTGTCCTGGAAAGTCTTGGAGTGGTCATGGAATATTGGAAAAAAATTGTCCCGGAATCCAGTTGTCAGATGGAACAATCCTGGAAGAGACATGGAATTGGGTTTTCAGGTTCCTATGGGAATACTGCTCACCTATTGTTCCTTGCTGTACACACAGACATAGAAAACATTCTTAAGTTGGAAATAGTTTTAAAAGGCTATCAGTATTTCCATGAGTTGGAAACATTTTGAGAAAAATGAGCCAAATTTAGGTTTTTAGATTCCTAAACAGGAGTTTAATTTGCGGAGACCTGCGGACTGCTTTGTTAGAAATGCACCTCGTCATTCAGTTGCACAGTTACTTTATGTAGTGAAGTTCAATGCTGAACCTGCCGGCCAAGTCTTCCAAAATCCAACAGCTGTTTTTGATTGGTTTTATTGGACTTAGGGCCTGGTTTCCAAAGCACAGAGATTGAGTCAATGGGATTCCTGCATGCTGTTGGATGTTGGAAGTTTAAGGAGGTTTACTTCCAAATTGGTATTGAGAATGAGGGTTGATCAAACTTCAGGAAAATCAGAGAGATTTTTTCTTTTGAGGAAAGAAATTTTGCAGTTTACGATGAGAATTGAAACTGTTAAATCAAATAAGTTTGGTCCATTTCTCATCGGAAACCTTCAGTTTGTGGAATTAGTTATTTTTGGTTGATATGAAAAGGCGTGTGGGATATTAGACATGTGGGATCCTTCCCTGATGTGAGTCAGGATCTCAGAATCTTTCTAGTTTACTTCGGCACGTCGTATTTCGTTTGGGTAACTTTGGTATTTCTTGCATTGCAGTAACAACGAGAGCCTGCCTTGTGTTCTTCAGGAATGGTTCTTTGCACACCACCAAAGCTGTATTGGAAGAGCCAGTTTTGATTTTGCGCATTGTGGAAGTTGCAAGCATGGCACTGGCTTCTTTTTGCACTGGGAATTTCTAACCGCATTTCAAACTAATGCAGCAATTCTGTGCACAGCCCTCTTTTGTTTGTATACTTATTAATATAATTAGAAATGCACTGCCCAACAGTTTATTTGAAATCCCTGTAAAATTAAACTTCTGAAATGCACTTTAAAAATGGAGAGAAAAAGTTATAGATCTCAAAGTGATGAATGTTTAAGAACTTTGCCCAAGTATGATTTTAAATGCATTTTTACCCATTATCTAAAATAGCCAAAACAGACTTGTTCCAGATTACAACAGTGTTGGAAAAATGTCTTAGATTTCTTGGGGCAAAACTTGAAAGTTTGGCGCTTGTTTTTCTGATGTGTGACGTTGTTGATTCCTACAGCAATGGGCAGCCAGCCCCCTATGGGCGGTCCACCCAGTAGTGGGCCCAGTGGTCAGTCCTCCGCTGGGCCTATGCCCGGCCAGTGGCCCCAGCAACAACAGCAGCAACAACACCCAATGGGCGGTCCCCAAGGGGTCCCCCGCCCCACAATACCGCCGCAGATGTCGCCACAACAACAGCAACAACAACAACAACAGCAGCAACAACAACAACAGCAGCAGCCGATGCACCAGCCGCCGCCCCCGAAGCAGATCCAGACAGTCATGATGCTACAGCCTAAACAGAATCGCTTGATCACCATGGCGAAACCACAAGGGATGGACCCAGTGGAAATCTTGTCAGAGCGTGAAAACAGGTACCAGCATTGTACACAGAACTCCAAACCTTAGCTCTTATAGGCTGTTACTTTCAGAGACAGTGGGAGACTTGGAGACACTTGATGGCGACAAACAAACAAGCCCTTTCCCACAGTTGTGCACATGCTGAGAACTACAGCACAGGCCCAGAATTATGCCCCCATGCCCAGAACTGCAAAAACAATTAGGTTTTCCCACCAAGCATCTTAAAGCCCACATGACCCTATTTTGTCATGTACACATATTGCACCATTTACATAGTTTCAAATATGCAAATTTAGAGGAACAAAATACCACATTATCCGAGAAGGTAACCCTTCATTCATTTCGTTTAACGTTCCAAATTTAATCAGTTCCTCCCTAACTTGACACTTAGTATCTTTGACTGTCCAAAACTTTGTGCCGTTTTTTTACATTTATGCCAAGAAATTGCTTGAGCCTTCCCTAAAATCACCAGAAAACCCCAAGGTTTATTCTTTGTCACTTTCAAAGAGCATCACGCCCCCTGCCAGGTAGCAGTGCTTGGGTTCTACCTTCCTCAAACCTGCAAAATCCTTCCAGCACCCCCTGGTAGATTTTTAAGGATTGGGAAAGTGTAAGGACATAATGCAGCCATGTTTTGAACTCCTCCATCCTTACCATTGTAGGATCACCGGTCGCATAGCCTATCGCATCCAAGAGCTACAGACGCTCCCCGGTTCCCTGCCTGAAGACTTACGCATGAAGGCAACCATTGAACTCCGTGCTCTGAGACTTCTCAACTTCCAGCGTCAGGTAGGCACTTGTTAACAGTCAACTAAATGCATAAGGTTTAGCATGCCAGAGTGGACCAAACAGACCCGAAACTATGAAAATCTGACAAACTGGATTTGTTGACTTTTCTTCTGTGTCACCAGCTGCGACAGGAAGTAGTGAGCTGTATGCGACGGGACACCACCCTAGAGACTGCCCTCAACTCCAAGGCCTACAAACGCAGCAAGCGGCAGTCGCTGCGCGAGGCCCGACTGACAGAGAAACTGGAGAAGCAGCAGAAGATGGAGCAGGAGAGAAAGCGGCGCCAGAAACATCAGGTATTGCCTGCCGTACAGCGAGCTGTCCCAGATAGAGCTTGAATTAGTTGAAATTGGAATTCCACGGAGATCAAACATTCATCTGTGTGGCCTGGAACATTCCTAAGTTAGAAATATGAATAGCTGGACACTCTACCTCAGATATCCTGGCTGTAAAACTTACAGATCTAAGCGGTTGTTAAAACTTGGTTTAATAGATTCAGATGAATTTAGCACACCTTCAGAAAAACATGAAGAAGGTTATGCTTGATGGGACTGTCATGAAGGCTTTATTTTAACTCGTACATCTGTGAGAAGTGGATTCAACTTGAAGTTAATGGCTTTCACAGACAGATGAAGTTAGACAAGCCTGTGGGAATTCCCTTTTTTAGTCAGGAGCTGCTCGGTTGACCTGTGACACCTAACTTTGACTCCTGCACAGGAATACCTGAGTTGCATCATGCAACATTCTAAGGACTTCAAGGAGTACCACCGCAGTGTGCAGGCCAAGCTCAGCAAGCTTAACAAGGCGGTCATGACCTACCATACCAACACGGAGAGAGAGCAGAAGAAAGAGAGCGAACGCATCGAGAAGGAACGAATGCGACGGCTCATGGTAAGAGTGAGATGGCCGACGTCTGTCAAAGAATTGTAGCTAAGCAAAGTAACAAATTTGCTCAGCAAAAAGTAGGTTACCGACTGAAATCTCATGTGATTATATTAGATTGGCACTTGTTCGTGGCTGATTAGAGCTAGCAGTGTTTCCTGGTTAGTATTGGGCCCTGTAAAGAGATTTGAGGTCATTTATTCTTTAGTTCAGTAGTTCAGTAAAAAAAAAATGGATTCAAACATTAGACAGGACTTGAGTTGTAAAGTTTTGGTGTGTTGGGGGTCATTCATGCGGGGAATTTTTTACTGCCTTAATCGGTACAGAAATCCAACCTTCACTCTGAATTCTCTCTTAGGCTACGTTGAGCATCTTCAAGTTATTCAGGTGCACTTTATTGTAACGCCTACTTACTCGTCACATCTCATGGTTGCTGCACCTTATGAGAGAGTATCCCTTAAGTTACTCTTGTCGACATGATCTGGCTTGTCTTCAAAAGCCTCAGTTTGTTTTTTATTTTTTGCTCCAACCTTGGGTCAGGCTGAAGATGAGGAGGGTTATCGGCGCTTGATTGACGAGAAGAAAGACAAACGTCTCGCCTACCTGCTGAGCCAGACGGACGCTTACATCAACAGTTTGGCAGAACTGGTCCGGGCTCACCAGGAACAGCTCAGGAAGAAGAAACGCGAGAAACGCAAGAAGAAGAAGGTAGGGCGTGTCTGTGAACTTGTGTCAACTTTGCCTGTTCTGACTTCAGATGTAGGAGATTGACTTTATTGCTTTGACTGTCCAACAAGTGGAAGGCCCACGGTTTTAGTGATGTAGTCAAGAACATCACGACCAATTGCAAGACCAGTCACAAGACCAGACACAAGGCCAGTCACAAGACCTGTCACAAGGCCAGTCACAAGACCTGTCACAAGTTAGAGGGTGAACTGTGACAAAGGAATGCTTTTAGTGTAGTTCCTTTTGGTGGCTTGTGACTTGAATTCAGACTGGTCTTGCATTGGTCTTGCATTGGTCTTGTGATGGTCTTGTGATGGTCTTGTGATGGTCTTGTGATGGTCTTGTGACCATCTTAACAGGTCTCGACTACAACACTGCCCACGCTCATATAAATGCTTGACCATTATATGCGATGCTTTTTTTCCCACTCAATTTATCCCAAATACTTCAGTGTAAATTTTTGCGTTGAAACTTGTAATATGTAGCAAAATCATTTCTTGGACTGTTGCTTAAGCTTGTTTAGGTTGGAAGAAAAGCAGCAGACTGGCAACTTGTGTTTTGTTAGTTCACCAATATTGTAAGCGACAAATTGTGGCTGTTCTTCAAGCGTGTGGCACTGTATGATTTGCTGTGGATAACTCTTTGTTTCTACAAGTTTGTCCCAAAATTGTGGTTGGGGCGGTCAGCTCGTCGATACACCGCCATCAACTTCCTCTTTACATTGGCGATTTCATTCCGAAATTTAAGCATTTATTTTCTTTGCAATTAGAAACATTGAAATTGAAAACATACTTATCAGCCTTAGAAATTTGAAATAAGGCAGTACTTACAAGTTCATTTTTGATGGAACAGCATCCTCGTCAAACAGCTCCAAGGTTTAATGAAAGTCCAATATGCTAATTAATTGTGACTGTCAAATTATGGCAACTTTTATTGGCCGCAGAATTCTGCTGGGCAGCTAGTTTCGGTTGAAGGCCAATTTCCCACAGAGCTGCGCTTAACCCTATCCCTCCAGCAAACTTTGGCTAGAAACCCTGCCAGACGTGTCAATGTGCATCATTTGTCAAAGTGGGTTGCCTGCCCAGTGTTACAAGATCCAACAGGCCAACTCTCCCCAAGGCCAAACAGCCTAGGAATCTGTGGTTGCAAGTCACCTTAAGGTCCAGCAGTGGCATTGTTCAATGGGACTAGCTCCTATTGTCTCAACATGACCAGTTTGTTCGGCTGTTGTTGACTGCTAAATGCATCAAAGTCCATCAGGCTCTTTCACCTGATGGACTGTGCTGCGTCTGGCAGGGTTTAGGGTTAATGCAAACCAAATTTTGTTGCTTGACGCAACGATAAGAAACCAATCATATTTTTTTCTCTTTTGCACAGTAAGGGAAGCTATGGTTTCCAAATCAATTTTCTTGATCAATCCAATCATTTGTGTGCCATCTAGCTTTCTGAAGTCGTCCTTTAACGTCAAGCTGGTTTCTTTGTATACATCTTGATTTTTTTGGTTGGTTTTTAGCTTTGCATGAAAACTGTTTCAAAGGATTTTTTTGGTTTGGTTGTTGAGTGGTGACTGAAATAGTTTGTTTGCTTTGTTATGGTCTTGTTTGCAGGCTGAGGTAAGCGAAGCCTTTCAGGATGGGGTAAGGAAACTTAAACTAGGGGATCCACTCCAGCCATGAGCAATTAGACGTTTTGTGGAAATCTCTGTCTTGGGAACAGGTCTAGAATCAATGTGGACCACAAAGTCAGTTTAATACCCTCATTTCTGTACTTGAATCTTTTTTCTTCTAACATTTTGCACTCCTCTAAATGGAAAGCAGACCACAGTGTAATCTCTTGGAGATGCATCTGTGAAGTTGTTTACAACTGAAAAGCCTTTGTAGAGGTTTTTTGACCAAGTCTGGAAGCAAATGTTCGATTTGTGTGACACCAATATTCAAAATGGCTGGAGTGGTTCTTTGTACTTAAAAGTTTATTTCCTGAAGCCCATGCCAACAAGCCATCCAAAGATAGGTTCTCTTTTAAAAGGAGATGTGGCTATTTTTTTCTAGCTATCTTTGGTGTAAAAAAAAAATCGGTTTTCGTCTTCAAAAATATATGTTGATAGATGCTGTGGCAAAGCCAGGCTCTGTGTTGTGTTGTGGTCATCAATTATGCAAATGAGCATGCAACACACAAAGGCTACAAATTGATGATGTCGCCCTTGTTTGCGCAAAGGGCGCCCTCTGTTGATCAGTAGTGGCAGGCAAGAGTTTGATGATTTTTTGTGTGTTACATTTACTCACGTTGTCTAGCATTTTTACAATGAGCTTGCTGCTGCCTGCCAGAAGTCAACAAAGGGTGTTGTTGAACTAGTTTCCATTGGTGCAACACCGCATCTGGATCATTACAATACAAGTCATTGATTTCCCATTTGTTTTTCAACGTGTAGTTGACAGATGAGAGTAGCCAGATGAGCGACACGCCCATCAAGGTCATCAACCGCGAGACGGGTCACATCGTGAGCGGAGAGGAGGCGCCCAAGGCTACCCAGCTGGAGGCATGGCTGGAGATGCACCCCGGGTATGAGGTTGCACCAAGAGACGAGGACGGCTCCGAGTACGAATCCGAAGAGGGCTCTGAAGAGGTATGTTTTAACTCATTCCCACTGTGATTTGAATCAGGATTATGATTGGAATTCAGTTCGACATTGATATTAATACAGGAAGCTTGGAAATAAATCAGGGATGTGGTTCCCGCCAATTCACTTCACTATCCTTAAACAGTGTTCCACAATGTATATGTAGCATTCTGCCTTCCTTTCATCTGAAAGAAAACCACTCTATGCCTGAATAAGACAAATTTGTAAGTAGAGGAGGAACTTGCTTGACAAGAATTACTGTGGAGTTGAAAGTTTAAGCATATCTTTGCTTAAGTGTTGTTTTATTTGTGTCAACAGGAAGAAGAGGATGAGGAAGAACAGCCACCGCCGCCGCGACCGCAGCCGCCGATTGTACCAGCAACAACTGAGGAAGCCATCAAGTAAGGATTGTCGTCACCTTGTTTTTTAAAGAGTTGTTTTTTTGTTTTTTTTCTAAGGTGAAATTCGCAAGTTGGAATCATTGTGCTCAGGTCACTTGGACTTCCGAGTTCTTCGGGAGAATATGTCCTTCCCCTGGCTGGGAGATGGTCCAAAATAACCTGGCCGTTTAGAGTTAAGTGCAAATAGCATATACACATAGTCTGCTCAATAGTTAACACTATTCACGCCCAGTAATTATGTTTCGGTAATTTTCCAGTGATGTCCATGCCGCCGATGATGAATACAACACTCGCAATGTGGGATATTATTCCATCGCCCATGGTATACGAGAAGAAATCACCAAGCAACCGGATATGCTGGAGAATGGAACGCTGAAGGAGTATCAGGTCGGTGTGGCTCAGGGGTGGTAGATGGGTGTGGCTTAGGGTGGCAAGTCAGTGTGGCTTAGGGTGGCAGGTGGGTGTGGCTTAGGGTGTGACTTAGGGTGGCAGGTGGGTGTGGCTTAGGGTGTGACTTAGGGTGGCAGG